CTTTATTAGTAAAAGTTAAAAAAAAAAAAAAATTAGTATTACCTTTAAATGTCACCTACAGTGCCAAAAAAAATACTGCATACATATATATATATAATAAAAAAAGTTTATGTTTGTTTATCACTACTATCATTCTCTAGAATGTATTCATTATTTTCTTCCCTATATGTATAATAAACTTCAAATTCTTCCTTCTCCTTGTCCTCCTCACATTCTCCATCGTTCCACATCCTAAGCTTGTTCATTAAGGTCAACAACTGTCCCATTAGTATGCTGAATAGGTTCTCATACAATATGATGGTTAAATGAGGCAGTTGGGGAGGTAGAGATTCATCATCCTGAAAAGTGGGTTTTGAATCTCAATAATGCTTCTTGTTTTGCATTTCACTACAACAACCTATTCTTTTCTAATAGAATTTTGTGGTGGATATGGGTTAGATTTTTAATATGTTAGGGTTTAGATTTTTAAGGCTTATTGTTTAATATTTAAAAGTTTAAGTGTTTAATAATCTAGAAATTAAAAAATACAAGAGCAAAAGGTGAAATTAAAAATTTTAAAACCACAAAAAAAAAAAATGGAGGGACTCATCGGCTTGGGACTAATGGTCCCTATAGCATTTCCCCTTTGGTTAATAAAAATATTTTGTTGATAAAAAAAAAATATACGAGTGAAGTGAAGTTCTAATGAGGAGAGAACCAAATAAGGCAAAACCCTACGTTGAACTCCTAAATTTACTTCAAATTTTTTATTAAAATCTTAAACTTTTATTAAAGTAAATAAATTTCTAAATTTGCCAATCCAGCAATCAAACCATTTTCCTTATAGTGGATTTAATGCTCGACTGTGCTTTACTTGCATGGACAAGATCAATACTTATCATATAGGTAATAACATGTTAATATTTTGTTCACGCAAGCAATACACAAATGAGTGTTAAATCTGTCCTAAAAAATAGAGGTTAAATTGCCTAGATGACCAAGTTAAGGGACCTATTTGCTTTAATAAAAGTTTAGGAGTTTAATTGAAAATTTATGCTAAGTTTGGAGACTTAACATAGTGTTTTGCCACAAATTAACGCTTTCTTGTTGTTAGGTTATAGGAGAAAAGATTAAAATACCAAATTGGTCCCTCAACTTTTAGTTTATACCAAAATTATACTTAAACTTCAAAAAGTATTAAATTATCCCTAAACATTAATTTTCTATACCAAAATAATCCCTAAACTTTAATTCAATACTAACTTAGTCCTTGAATTTTAAAAACAAGTACCAGCTTAGACCTTAAACTTTGATTATAATATTATTTTAGTCATTCAACTTTAATTATATATAAATCTAATATGTAATTGAAAATATATTACAATAGTAAAATATAACTATTTAATTTTACATGTTGTTAATATTTTAAAAAGAACTAATTTTGTGGCAAGATAACAAGTCACATGATATCACTACAAGAATACACAGAATTACCGATGAAACCTCATGTCGGAAATCAGGAGTGAGCTTGTCGGTAAATAAATTTTCCAACTTATACTTTGTCGGTAATGTACTTGTCGGTGTTGGCTTCCTCGGTAATTACTTCACCGATGTGAGATGAAGTTACGTCGGTAATTTGGTCCAAATTACCGACAAAACACAAGTCTCAAACTAACTACCGGAGCCGTACTACCGGAGCTTTTCACGTAAGTCAAGGTGTCAATTACCGACGAGCTTCACGTCTCTAGCTGTAGACCTCGTTTACTTCACCCCTGTGTTACCTCGTTTATTGCATCCTCGTTTGTTGCAGCCGGTCAACTCATGTCAGTAAATTACCGACAAATAATTAATCGGAAACTTGATTTAGATATTTGTAAATTTCTTGCCGATTTGCAAGAATTAATTGGTTTAGATAGCATTTACCGACAAAGTTCCAATCGGCAATAAGCAAGAAGCCCAAAAAAAAAATTTAGCATTTTAC